TACGAGTCTTTATCAAGCAATTTTTATGCTAATACATTGTATAACTTTTCTATATTACCATAATTATCTCAACCCGGACAGAACTCCAGCAAACCAAAGTGAGCCTAACAGCCCAACAGGATGGTGTTCACCAGAGAAGAGACTTCACAACTTTCAGCCTCCAACGGCAGACTACTCTATGGAAGACATCCATGACTTGGTCACTGAGGATGAGTTTATGCATGCTCTGGGTAAGTGGCTTGTATGTTCATGTTTTGGTATTTTAAGGAATTATAAAAAGTTTTTTATTGAAAGAAGTTTTTACTTGTTGGATGTGAATAGTTTTGAAAAGTTACACACACACACACACACACACACACACACACACACACACACACACACACACACACACACACACACACATTTCATTTGCTATTTTCTTCCAAATCAGGTCTTCTCACTGTGCGGGAATGTAGAGAGGTTATGGACAAACGTTATGAGAGGAGGAAAAGAAATGCTTATTCTCATATATTCTCTAATACAATATGGGAAAAGCCAGAAACCGTAAGTTTTTTTGTTTTTTATTTAGTTCATTATTGAAAGGATATCAGATATTAGTTGTAAAGAAACTCTTAAAATATTTTGATGCATTAGCTTTGAATGGACTGAAGGATATTAAGCATGTACACGTGGATAACATTTCTGTTGAAAAAACGTTAATCCAAAACACTACATTAACATGATCTCCCTAACCCGCTATACTCCACAGCGCCGGAAACGTCGTGCCTGGCTAATGTCTGGTGCAGGGTCACCGCCCACTCTGAGACGCAAGGTTCGACCACCTTCCCAACCACCATCACAGCCTCAGTCGCGTCCTTGCTCGCCTGCACAATCCTCATGCTCGCCCCCTACCACCTGCCCCCCTTCACAGGCGGCCTCTCCCCAGTCTGTAGAGGAAGAATTCCCCGTGGCATCGCAGCCCTCAGAGGAAGTGTGTCCAATGTGCAAGATGAAGGGTAAGTTATGATTGTTTGCTTTTATTTTGGAAATATTACTTTTAATATTTTAAAGTGAGGTTTTCACAAATGTTAAAATACATGAAGTATATCTGTGCTGATAAATCCTTTTTTTAAGTCCATTGTTTCATTATCAACTCCAGGAGCAGATGTGCAGTGTGATGGATGTGGCGTGATATATCATGGACCTTGTGTAGATCTGGGAGACACTGAACCACCCCCTTGTTGGCTCTGTCTAACCTGTGAGCAGCTGGGGCTCCGGGCTTCAACCAACAGCGACCCACAGTACCATAGCAGGCGTAGAGGTAAGTCCAGGTAATGACTGGTCGTTTCCTCTTCCTTGCTGTTTTGTCTGTAGTCTACCTTAATATTTCTCACATTTCTGAAGCAACAACCATGAGCCTAGAGAAATTTGTAGTTCATAGGATATGCACAGGGCAAAATTAGAATTTTAAAAAGTTGAAAGTTTTTATTTTTCAGCAATATCAGAAATGTGGGAAATATTTTTTCAACCAATTAAATTAGTAAATACCCATTATGTTACTAAATGTGAAGTAAGTAATATAGTAATTCACTTCTTCTCCTCTCTTCACCTTCTTCCTTTTCCTGCCCTTCACCTGCACCATGTCTGTGTATGTACTCCTCCTTTCTACTGAGAAGGCTTTTGATTTTTTTAATTTGTATTTCTTTTATGATTATTATATGTAGATGTAGTCACTGCAAAAAGCCCTGGACCTATCCTAAACTTTTAGATAGGTGCAGGAAAGTACTTGTCTTTTAGGACATCTGGCATCGTTCTAGGGGAGTCTAAAGACCAATGAGGTATTAGACATTCATTGGTATTTCAAAGACATGAGATTTATGCAAGGTAGCTCCAGCCTACAGTATTCAAGATGTGAAGTTTCTTTCCATTAATTTTCTTTGTAAACTCTAAATTCCCTTGTTCATACATATTAACCCATTGCCGCCGGGGGAAATGCAGTACTCATTTTTTATATTTTTGTGAAATATCTCTGTTAATAGATGGCTTTGCTAGTCCTGATTTCACCTTTCCTTGAATTGGCGGGAAAAAACGCATTTTTACTAGTGCTATAAATATAGATCGTGTTATTTTTAACAGCAAATTAGGATAACATTAAATATTTTCGTAAATCAATGAAAAGGGTGAACGGGCGAGACAGGCAGTACTCGTAATTGGCTCACTGGTGACTTAGTACAAGTGTAGTCATCTATGTGTAAAAACAATCGAACAAATCGACTCACAGTGGGCATGGCATGTACGCACATGCCATCCCCGGCGGCAATGGGTTAAATGAAGAAATGGCCAGGATCTTGGCTTGAAGGCTTGAGAATGTGTCAGTTAGAGAGTTGTTTGTCCAGGGCCCTGCATAGTTAAGTCATGTTGACCTTCTGATGTTCCCAGTTGATCCCAAGCACAAATCCTTTAGTGTCAGCCTTGCAGGATATGTAGGGCTACAGATAAGCTTCTTCACCTCAAAATAGTA